GGTGGCAGTGGCGGCGGTGGCGGAGGCGCACGCCTTTAATCCCAGCACTCAGGAGGGAGAGGCAGGTGTATCTCTGTGAGTTTGAGGCCAGCCTGGGCTACCAAGTGAGTTCCAGGACAGGCTCCAAAGCTACACAGAGAAACCCTGTCTCGAAAAACAAAAAACAAACAAACAAACAAAAAGCTCTTGGAAACATATGATAAATGGATGGACATGACTGGTACAGAAAGGTGACCACAGCACACTAGGAAGAATTGTTTGCAAATGGGGTTTCTGTTCTGTATTTTTGAGAAACAATAAAAGAGAAAGAATTTATGTTGAAATAACAACTTTGGTTATTTCTGGGTAATAGGTGTGGGAGAGATGCTCCTGCTTTTTCCTCAGGGTACACTTTGGGGAGTGAGGAGTGAGAAATATCTAGATATTTAGAATAGAAGGGAGAGAAACAGATAGAAACATGGGATAGCCTCAGGAGAACCTGGATCCTTATCCACCAGCCCCTTCTGTTTCTTCTAAAGGGTCTTTCAAAGGAATGCCAAGGGGTGGAGCAAAAGACCTCCTTCCAGCACAGCCAAGCGCAGACCCTTCCAGACACCTGGTAACCATGCACGTGGTCCAGCCATCCCCTAATGCAGCCCTGCTGGGTAAAACAAGCTCAGCGCTCACTAGGAAACCTCCGGGGGCCTCCACAAACAGGATGACAGGTGATAATGTCCCCGTCTTATTTTTCCTGTGTCTATAACATTTCTACAATGAATATTGTAGATAGGGTCATGCTTGGCTGAACATAGTAAAACTCTGAACCCCTGTGCCACAACAGTTCAGCACGGCAGAACTGATGTCTGAGATGTTCCTGGTGACTACACCCCAGTTCTCACAGCTTTCCTCAACCCTGGCACCCCAGTTCTCACAACACATTTGATCTCAGTCATGTTTGCATTGTACCCCTGTACCCCAGTTAGCATATGTGTCTCTAATCCCTACACAACCCATCACTGTATATCCATTCAAAGAGAGAAGTGGACAGGAAGGCTGCCCAAGGGGGAAACTAAGGACGAAAGTCCTAAGGCAGACGGGTCCTGTGACCATATCTAGCTGGAAAGAAGGTGGGGGACAGTCAGTCTGGGAAACAGGATTGAGTCGGCCACCTCTGCAACGTCTGCCACTGATTTTACAATTACCGAGATTGAAAAACCAGTCGTTTCTTTATTCTTGACTTCTTCAATGCTTTTTCCTTCCCACCACCCTCCGCCTACTCAGGCTGCAATCATCAGCAGATTCGCACTGGCAGAGCCAAGGGGGTGAGGGGGAAACCTGAGAGGAGGCTGCAGCCTTCTCCTTGCGGTGGGAGTGGAGAGATGGGCAGCAGGCCACAGGACTGGAAATCAGCTTGTTTGTTCGCTGGACCTCATCTGGTCTCTCGAGGTTTGGGCTCTGAAAGTTTATCAGCAGAGACTTTGGCAGTTTCAATACTATTACTTTCTAGACTGCAGAGCTAGCCTGGGTTCTTCCATTCAGATAGCTTTGGTCTCCGTTGGCCTTCCCAAATAAACGCTTGCCTGCAATCCCCACCCACAAAGGCAACGCCTTAGGTTGCCTGGGTTCAAATCTTGACTGACCAGACCCCTGTTATGTGTCCCTGGACCGTACGCTGTGTTTGTTTCCGACGCTGCAAAATGAGAATCCCAAGACTGAAGATTTCATAGGCTCCTGGTGAAAGACGGGATGAGTCAGTGTTTGTCAAGTGCTTAGGAGGTGCTGATCGCATCGTGAGTGCTACAGAAATATTTGTTTAAAAAATATATAAACACGAGAGACAAGAAATAGCCATAAGCTGTGTGTTTGAAGCTACCTCTCAGTCCACACTTTCCTTTGTTCCCTGTTGGCGAAGCTCATATCCTCTGTCCTAGGAAGGAAGTGGGTACACGGGAAGCCACAGGCATCTGTGAGAACTGGAATATCTGAAGGATCTCTTAGAGAGGCAGATGCTGTCACTGCCCTCACTAGAGCTGGGGAAACTGAGGCCAGGGGAGAGGCAGATATTGACCACAGTCTCAAGCCGGTGGAATGGCGGAGCTGAGATTCGCAGCTGGGCATGTGTGACTCCCAAGCCTGGACTGCCCACTTATTAAGGTGATGTTTCCCAGGCAGGTTTTGATAGGCCCCTAAGAGGTTCGCATTCGCATCTAATGCCCGGTTTAAAAGGATCTATTTCTTTTTACTCAGCTTAGCAAGTCTAGACGCTCAAGGCCAACTCTGGCCAGCTGAAATGATCAATAATTAACGTCAGGAATATCTTACAGGTCCAAATTCCTCTCTGAGTGGCCGCAAAATTCCTGTCCACCCTTGGATCTGTGGGTGCCACCTCTGTCCAAGAGAAAGAACCCTTGCCTGCTCAGAGTCTTCTCAAGCGCCTGTGATCATATTTGAGCAAACCGCAGGCCTTCAAGGAGGCACCCTGGTTCTACCCCTTTAAGAAAAGAGAAAGAGCGAAATCGCTCAGCCCCACCCCACCCCACCCTGTGCCTGTGGGAGTCTGTGGACTTGAGATAGAGCCAAGATAAAAAGAATTAAAAACAAACTGAACTTTTAAAAAACAAAACAGCAACAACAACAGCAACAGCAAAATTTGTTCCCAGTTCATAGACGCTTGTACCCCAAGTTGCAGCGCCCCCCGGGGAGACGTGAACCAGGGTCACCTCCGGGCCGGCTTTGGGCTTCCTCCCTAGCCCCGCCCCCAAGCACAGCCACCCTAAGAGGAGACGGGCGTTCGCCTCCGTCGGCTCCCACCTTCCCCCTCCAGCCACTCAGCGTTCTCCTTTTCTACGGTTGGCTTCATACTGGTTTGCCTCCTGCTGCCAGGGGGTGAGAGGGTGTAAATGCCAGCGGAGCAGCTGCTCGCCAGCTCTCCAGGGCGGATCCTGTGGGTGGGGCCGGCAGCAGGCAGGAGAGACCCGGAGAGAGATTAGGTGAAACATTAGCCTCGGCCTTTTGGACACGGTCCAGGGTCTTTCAATGATTTCTTTGTGTGCTTTGGGCGCTGGGCTTGTTTGGCCGGGGGACGGGCACCCATTAGAAGATTTCACAATGATTTGCCATGTTACAGTTCTAAACATGTCAACTCATCACCGGGGTTCAATTTGTATTTTTACAGTCTCTTTAGACTCTCACATCGCCCTTCCCCTTTCCTCCCACCCCCACCCCCACCCTGCCCCAATACACCCTCCTCTCCCCGGGAGAGCTTCAGGGAAAAGTACCCTAAGAGAATTAATCAAAATGACTATGTAATGCTCTAAAAATAATAAATGTCGTTATAGGCTGGATCCCTTTCAAGTTCGAGCTCATTCTGTAAGCTTGAAGATCCACATGTCAAGTTGCATGTATATTACTTTTTTTATTAGGAGGAAGTGGCCTGTTGTGTAGAGACAGGTACACTATGAAGACACATGGATGCTACAACTCTCCCAACACCAGGCTATTTTTCAGCTTAATTCATTAAGCAACGTGGTTGAGGAGGGGGCAAAGGGCAGATCCTGAACTCCTTACCTTCTCTTCATAAGCCCGCCTTGCAAATTAGGATCTGCTACCTACGTGCTTGGAGCTCTGAACACAAGTGTAGCCGAGATCAGGGTCCGGATAGCTATGTGCCTTGGCTTCTCTCGCCCCACCCACCGGACAGTGCTACTGCTGGGCAAAGGGGTTAGAAAATACTGAGGATGGATTATTAATCAGTGCGTTCAAACAGCCACAGCAGCAACAGTCAAATGAACAAGCAACTTTGTGGGTCTGTTGTTGTTGTTGTTGTTTTGTTTTGTTTTTAGATAGATTCTCACTTGTGTAAACACCTGACTGTGAACTTGAGATCTTCCTGCCTCAGTCTTGCAAGTGCTGGGATGACAGCTGTGTAACTGCTGTTATTATCATGGTTTCAGAATGCCTTCTGGGATAGTAACTCCAAAAGAATTTGAGCGCGCATGTGCGTGTGTGTGTACTTGCAGGTGTGTGCATGTGTACTCACTCATTCTAGGGTGTGTGGAGGTCACGGGTTGACATCAGGGGCCTTCCTTAATTGCTTTCTAACTTAGATTTTGAGACAGGATCTCATGCTGAACCTGGAACTCACTGGTTTCTCCAGGCTGGCTGACCAGCCTGCCCAGGGATCCACCCACCTCAGCGGCTCGGCTTCACCAGAGCCAGGATTCCAGATGTGTGCAGCCACACCTAGCTTCTGCATGGGTGCTGGGAATCTAAAAATCTCATGCTTGTACAGCAAGGAATTTACCTACACAACCATCTCCCCAGCCTCCTCCCCATCCCAAGAATGGTTTTTTTTTTGGGGGGGGAGGTCAGGGTGGGGGAAAATGTAGCTGGGTCTTGTATTCTTAAGGCCTTTAAGCATGGCTGGAATAAGGTTAGATCAGCCTTCAAGTGAGGCTGAGAAGGGAAATCTGTACTGGAGAAAGAAGGAAGGGGTGATGAGCTGAATCCTGCTTTGCTTTCCTACTTCAACCGATATCAATTCTGCTTTTCCATGGGCCCTTCAGCCAGTAGATGCCCCCCAAATATCCATGAGCAAGGGCCCTAACCATCCACAGCCCATGGGTCATTTATCTATGTCAGGCAGGGCTACTAGGTCAGGGTAGGAGTTAGGACTCCTGAGGCTTAACTGTGTATATCATTTATGCCCAAGTTCAAGCCTGGCTGCTATGAGGCTAAGTCACTAGGCTATTTTCAGCCTAAGAAATCTCGTCCGGTCTGAGGCTGCTCCTTAGATAATTCCAGTGCCTTCATCCTCCAAAGAAAGGCTGATTGCAGTGCTACAAAGTCCCAGCCTTCCTTAGCCAGCCTCCATAAATCACGGCTGACAGGAAAGACTGGAGGGTCATGGGTAATTGAATTCCAACCAACCTTCACACCTAATTCAAGTCAACCCTCTTTCCTGGATCAATCTGCTGTCAGAGCTGCTGAGTAACTATTGTTTGTAAATTCAAAGAAACCTTTTTTTTTTTTTTTTTGAGGGCCTACTGTGCATTAGCTTCGTGAGAGGTGTAGCTACCATCTCACTTCAATCACTCACTCACTCACTCACTCACTCTTCTGTCCACACTTCCCACCAGAATCCAGACTCGCGGAGTTAACAGACAGTCGGGGAGGGAAGTAAAGGTCACCTTGGGGTCAGTCCTGGAGGAGAAAACGAGTTCTCCTCCGGACTCCCTAACTTCCCATCGTTGCCGGGAGATAGGTCCTTTACTGATGGAAATGCAGAAGCTGGTTTTGTGCCAGAGAACGTGTAAGAAAGCTTCCCTTTTCTCAAAGAAAAGTCAACCCCCAGCTCCCCCAGACTCTCCAGTTCTCTCTCGGCCATATTTGATGTGGGATGTCGGGTGTGTTTTTCACCCTGTGGGTTTAAGGGTTCTCACCTGTGATGTGGAACAGGGTGTGTGCTTGGGGGTGGGGGCAGGAGGGGGTGCTGTCCTCACTCACTGAGCACTGCTTGGGGGGGTGTCGGGGAGATCTGGGCTCCTCACACCTGTGGTATTACTGCATGTGACTCTCACTCTCTATTAGGACTCAGCAGCCCCAGGCCCCGTGACAGGCCTGACTGGAAACTAAGCCTGAGGCGGACAGTGCCTATTCAAGAGTCACGATTTGTGGAAGAGTCTCCTGACTTTACTGGTCAGCCTCTACGCCGCTCTCCTGTCTACTGAGAGCACACATGGCCTGGATTCCACTACCGGAACACAACTGTGGCATTTCACATTTTCCAAAAAAATACAGCTCGTACTTCCTCCTTCACGAGGCCACCTCACACTCCGCCACTATTTCTCATTCTCAGACAGTTGCAACCCGGCTCGTGGGTGAGACTATGTCCCGGCCCTCCAGCCCATAATGAATTGAGCACTGGACTGCTACAGATAATATTCTTGGCAGCAATATGATTCGGAGCCATGAGTCAAGATGGTTGCAGAGGTTTGCTCAGGGGCAAAGAATTAATGGGACTGAATAATTTTTTACTTTCTTGTTTTAATTCCAGGATGATAGGAGGCCCCTGCGATATAGCCAGTGGCCTGGGGACCCCGAGCAGCCCGGAAAACTGTGTTTAGGTGGGAATGTTAATGGCATTATCCCTTGCTGCTGGGTAAGAGTCTGCTGTCGAGAGATAATTACCCAGGCGAAGATGAAGCATCATGGGAGCCTAACGCTGAGGCGGAGACCTCACTATTTATTTTCCATGTTGCCGCATAATCGCCTTCACCATTTAACTTCATTAACATCTTGGCTAACCCGGGGCCACACAATTTGACTTAAAAGAGAGAAATGAAGTAACCCTGAACCTACGTGTAATTTTAAACAAAGTTACCGGAGATGTGGGTTGAGATGTTTTCACTGTTGCAGTGGGTAGCAAACGAGTCCCCCATTTCCCGTATCCTTCCTTCGCCCTGAGAGATGAAAGTGAGGCCAGCCTTTCCTGACTGTTCACTGTAGGCCATCCCTTGCATTGAGCATCACACAGATGCTCTCCTCCTGAAGTCTCCATGGAGATCCCGCCAGTTGTGAGTGGAGGAAACTGTGTCAGAAAGGTGAAGAAACTTGTCCGAGGTCTGACGGCTTATGGGCAGGAGAGCAAGGATTCCAGCTGCGGCAGATCGATCCCAGCTGTTCCTAGAGAAATCACAGGACCACACTTGTTCCAGGATCTCAAGTCTGGTCTTCTAGACTCTACGGATGAGTCCAGGCATTTCATTACCGTTACAGCTGTTCACTGCGGTCTTTATCAGAATGGCTGCCAAGTCCCCCATCCCACCTCCCTCCAGTTCTGTAGTTCTGTTTTATCGAGAAGGTATTTGCATCCAACCCCACGTGGTGGCGACTAGGTTTCTTAAGTCATCCCCACAGGCCTTTGTGTTGGACAGGCTTCCGACCTTCTCTGGACAGGCTGTAAGTAATCACTGTCTCCTCACTCTGGGCTCCTTCTCCCCAAACTCATAAAAGCTACATCAGAAAACCCAAAAGGATGTTTCAGTGCACATGTTAGCCTCTACCGAACTCAATAATTGTTAACACTTTCCCACATTTAAAGTTCCAATTTATTAATCCATTTTCCCCCAGACTACTTGAAAGTTTGTTCCCGAGATACCTCAGCCCTGTAATGCTTCTGCATGCATGCATCACACATCTCCAGAGAACATGGAACACGTTACCATGTGACCACGTCACCATCACAGACCTAAGAAAATTAGCTACTGTTCCTTGATTTTGTCTACCCCGTGTGTGTGTGTGTGTGTGTGTGTGTGTGTGTGTGTGTGTGTGTGTGTGTGTGTTTGCGTGCGCACATTTCTGAGTCTGACTCTAGGGGCACACATGTTGGTCCTCAGCTTCTGCCTCTTTGAGACAGGGCCTCCTGTTCAGTGATGCTAGCTGTGGCTAGCTGGCCCACAAGATGCAGGACTGCTCC